ATCCATCCATCCATCCATCCATCCATCCATCCATCCATCCATCCATCTCCTGGTGATGTGTAAAATCCCTGCAGAGTGTCGGACGGCCGACAGGGCTTTATGAGCTGGTTGCTAAGGAGCCATGATGAGCTTTTCTCGACTTTATTTTATGGTCTCTACCTCAGATATTAAAGTTGGACAAACAGCAACTGAAACCAGGCACTTCACATTGAAATTAAACAAACCAACACTTTTTATGTGCCTCTCTTTGGCTATTTAAATAGGATCATATCTGCTTTTCCATTCCAGGCCACCCGGCCTTAGGTACAACCTCTGCGTCATGACTTCAGCTATAACTGGATTTCCTTTAAATAGTTTCACTTCCCTCTGCCTTCTTATCACTCCAGACTTCACGGTTCCACTTTACGTCTCTGACTTTAATCACATGCCAACAAAAAACACTTTTATAACCTTTTCCAGGAACCGTTGAATAAAATAATAATAATGATTTAACAATGGAGTAAAATGAACATGTTTGTCTGTGCTTGGCGCACGATTTCAAGCCATCTGACACCGTGCAGACAGTCATAATTAGCTTAAAAGAAGAAAGCAAAAAGCGATTATGTTCCCTTAAAATTTCTCTTGACCACGGTTTCTCATCTTTTTCATGTCATTCCAGTTTTTCAAAGTCATTTTATGCCTTTCGGAGGGAGGTTTCTCTGCGTCTTCATCACATTTTACAAACTTGGCAGGATTTGTTGTGGCCATTAAAAAAACACTGTAAATAAATTAAATTGCAGGTTGAATTTAAAAGTGTTTCAAGGTGGAAAGCACTACGATATGGGTTGCAGCGCTCTCCAGGTCCAGCTGATTTGAAAATGTCGGCTCTATTAAAGGACAGTCGTGGCATGATCTACAGGAATGTATGCATTAAAACATAGACTGGATACTTTGCTTTAGATGCTCAAAGACATAATCAACCCCTTTTAAAGAAAACACATGCAATAGCTTATATTGAAAAATACATTTTCTGAGTTTAATTGTGTGTCTGCTGCTTATATACATCAGTTGGATGTTTTTTTCTTTATCCTGTCTTCCATTTTTATTTTTGTGCATCCTCATCTCCCAAAATGAGTCAATCTGAGCACAAGCAGATCAGATCAGCAACCTCTCTCGTGTTGTTGTGAAACCATTTAATGTCTCTTTGCCTAGCTCATGCAATGCAGGGAAATCCCTGCCATCACGGTCAAAAGGCCTCCATTCCTGCACCCCCAAAGCTTTGAGGGTCCCGGCAGATGTTCAGACTTTGTCCACCTCCACTGATGGCAGACTCCTTCCTGCCCTCGCCGCAGAGCTGCTGTCATCCGCGGAGCGGTCGTTGGACTGGGTGGTCTGTCCCTCGGCCTCGTCGGCCAGCGCCCTCTTGTACACGCCCATCAGACTCTGCCTGAAGCGGCCCCTCACCTCCAGCCCCATGCAGAAGTACAGCAGCGGGTTGACGCAGCTGTTGAAGTAGGCCACGCCGCTGGCCAGAGGCTGCCACACCTTCAGCACCTGGTTCTTGCTGTCCACCATCTTCACGAGCAGCAGGCAGTGGTAGGGAGCCCAGCAGAGGAAGAACGCCACCACCAGCGAGGCCAGGATGCGCAGCGGCCGGGACTTCCCCGACAGGCGGGTGCGGCGGATGCCGACGCCGGCCAGGACGTAGCAGGTGAGGATGACCAGGAAGGGCAGCAGGAAGCCGCACAGGAAGCGGATGGAGTACAGAGCGTGCTTGACGGCGTCCTCCCCCTCCGTCCTCTCCTTCACCTCCAGCGTGCACTTGCTCTGGTTGTTCTTGCCCAAGTAGACCTGCCGGTAGAGGAAGTAGGGGGTGCTGAGCAGGGTCGCCGCGGCCCACACGCAGACCGCCACCACCCGAGCGGCCCGCACGCTGCGGTGGCGCTTGGTCAAGACGGGCCTCCACACGCAGAGCATCCGGTCCAGACTGATCACGGCCAGCAGGAAGACGGAGCAGAACATGTTGGCGTATTTGAAGAAGCCGTTGAACTTGCAGAGGAAGACGCCAAAGGGCCAGTGGTCGAAGAAGAGCTTCTTAATGAGGGAGAAGACGCGCGTGAAGCAGAAAATGAGGTCTGCGATGGCCAGGTTCACCAGCCACACGTTGGTGACTTTGGGCTGAAGGATAAGAAAGAGTTTTTCTTTTTAATAAAGTCTCAGCTCTGTGACACTTGGCGTCATCATAGTTCAATTTACACAGAGATCACAGGATCACAGATTTACTGGCTCCCCCTTTGGTATCTGTCTGATCTGTGATTTGAGCATCCTTCATCCTGTTCCTATAATTTTTTCCAATAGATCCGTCAGACTTCTCTCTGTAGAATTTGACACTAATCCTCAAAAGGTTGTGCATATTGTAAGAGTTTTGCCATATTGACTTGTTCAGTCAAGCTCTGATCTTCTAATGTTCCCCTCACACTGTTTCCTAATAATTTTATATATTATTGGGTTTAGTTGGTTTGGTCTTTATTTATGAAGATCAGAATTCTTTTATACATACATTTTTGGAATTTTATTTTTTGTTTTCCTCTCTTAAAAATTGGGTTTTAGAGTAAAAATGGAAACAAAAACATACGTTATATAAAAACTTTATATTTATGGCCATACCTGAAAAAGTTTTACATATTGAATCTTTATTAACAGGATCAACGGTATCTTCCATTTTAAGGGGCCTTAATGGTTATTAATTTTCTTGGACGCAGCATGAAATCTGTAAAAGATACGTTTCTCTCTCGGCCTGTGTAAGAGTTGGGATTGCATGTGGAAAGACAAAGAGATGTGGCTGAGCTAACCTCGGAGTATCAAACACTATGTGCTGGTTAATGATTACCTCCACTGCTGGCTTCCACCTTTACAAACTCTCAGATAATCGTCCTGATATGCTTGATTGGTCAGACTTTACAATGCTTACAATATCCTGCTGAGCCCGAAGCTGCACAGACGCTAATTAAACTGACAGGAAGGACTTAATATCCACCTTGAGCTTGAACCCGGCCACACAGATCACTATGGAGTTCCCCGTGATGCCCAGCACCACGGTCAGCGTGTAGAGAAGGATGCTGACGTTGTCCATGATGGCCTCCACGTCCACCACTGAGTCCCGGTCATTCTTGCTGGACTTGGCCATGACGGTGGGAAGAGAGGCATTTGTAAACATTGTGAAGCTGAAAGAAAGAAAAAAAAAAATCCAAGAAAAGCTCAACGTCACATCATGTTTTGAGAGTAAACGAGAACAGAAGTTGAACATGTACAGAACAGCTGAGTTTTAAATGATCAGGCAGATTATTTCATCAAAATGTATACTTTTCTTTTTATCATGAATGATACATTTAATAAACAAAAGTAAAAAAGACATATATAAAGCATTAATAGGTGAGGGGGCCTATCCATTTTTAGGACTAACATGAAAAAATGTGGAAATAAAGCTGTCCATAACAGCTGTCACCACACCCAGGATAAGTTTTATTCTATTTTATGTGATGGAGAGATGAAATAAGTTTAAAAACTCTCTCAGTTTGGTTTGGCTTTTGGTTGTGGCCAAACTAGAAACATATTCTTTATACTGTACTTTGCTGTAGCTAATCTGAGGAAACCTCTGACTGAACACATGTCATTCTCTGTGACTGAGTGCGATGTAAAACGTAAGTAAATCTGTAAATCTTTACAGACAAATAGAGGAAATGCAACATGTAGTGGTAAATATTGAAGAGGAAGCTTTTTCTGCTTTTTAAAGAAGCCTAATTCTGTTGCTTATTGAGGGAAAATAAGCTTTTGAGTTGCCGCCTGTCGACGGCTGTGTGCTGCACTTCCTCTTCGGCAGTTCTTGGTTATTTTTCTGGGGGGTTTTCATGTGCTTTAGGCGGCGTTTTGAGCTTTTCTTGTGTTTACTTTGCCTTAGTTCAACTAGGCTTCCTGTTTCTTTATTTTGGTCTCTTTTCAGTTTCCTGTTCTGTTCTTGTTCCTCAGTCTTCTCCGGCTGGTTCTCTTCACCAGCTAAACTCATCGGGCTCTTTGTGCTCAGCTTTTTTCTCTCAGTTGGACAGAAGCCCCCCAGTTCATCCATTCCCTCTCAGGTCATGGCTATATGTCTCTATTCCCACTCCTGTTAGCCTGTGTTTGTCTTGTAGTGCAATTTTTCCCAACCCTGGTCCTCCTAGGCCACCTTCCTGCACGTTTTCCAAGTTTCCCTGTTCCAGCACACCTGATTCAAATAAGTAGGACATCTCTCCAGCTCTTTGAGCTCTGCGTAAGGCAGATGAAGATCTGTCAAAACATTCAGGACAGCTGTCCTTCAGGACCAGGGTTGGGAAGCACTTTTCTTATGTTTCTGCTTGATCTTTCAGGTCAGCTTCTAGGTTTCTGGGATTTTTAGTTTCTGATTTTCTGCAGATTAGTTGAAGCTTTTATATCCGGCTTTAAAATAGACCTCAGTGTCGTTTGGTTTCTCGGTTCCCGTGTTTCTTCCTGGCCTGTATCTGTGGATCCTTCCACCCAAGAACCGCAAAAAAAAAAAAAAAAGAGACTGAAATGACTGCAGGAGCCAGTTGGTATAAAAAAGTCCTGTCAAACTGAAAGGGGTTTGCAGTATTTCTGAGTGCATCACATTTCATGGACAAAAATGTGGGACCAGAGTTTCTGTAAAGTTGTTGCACCTTTGTTAACCTGGTGGATTGAGAAGAGAAAGCCCACTAGAGCTGACAACAAAGGAGAAAAAAACTCATTTAGAAAACGATTAAAGGTCATAGCAGAAACCAACTTTCCTCTCAAATAAGGTCAACGTGTTAAAAAAAGTGCTCTCATAGAAACCTGCACTGTCAAAGAAGACGTGAATCAAACAGTCTGAACACATGAAGATTTTTAACCATAAAGGCAATAAAAGGGGGGGAAAACCAGTCTTTAACCCACAACCCGCTGCATGACACAGATAAAATGGGCTGCGCAGGAACGTGTGAAATTAAGACTGCAAACTCTTTCTGCAGCATGAGATAAAGGGGTGAAAACACAGCAGTTCCCATCCACTGATCTGATAAAATTAAGTTTAGCAAAAATCAAAGCGGACATGACATCAGCCAGGCAACAATGATTGAAAATTAAAAAGTTTTAATCAGGGAAGAATCTTCAATTATTTTTGACTAAGCAGACAAAACAGCTGCCGCTGTCAAAGTGTAAATTCAAGGTCTTCATCCTGACATTAGACTTAGTTTCAGAATATGCTGAAGCATATGGTGAAAAAAGGACAGTTTATTTATCTCAACAGACAAGTGATGGGTTACCAGGCAGGAAAGTAAGCGCACAACCACAGATCTCTGACAGCTCTGTTTCTATATCTCTCTGTCCATGTAACAGGAAAGAACAAGTTTTATCGACATTTAAATGTGTAACAAGGCAAACTGAATTAGCAGTGGTTAAGCAGCCGATGACTTAATGTTGCATCTGCAGAAAACCTCATGCAGACACAAAGATGAAATCAGAGGCAATGAGAAGTATTTTAGTCTTTTAGAGGCACAGCAATCTGTCGAAATGCCGAATGAATGCAGGTCTGAAGCCTTTTTGCAGAGGATAGTCTGCATCTGAGCAAATGCAACCCAACAAACAAATACCTTTTTCTGAGATAATTTTCAGGATGATTGATAACCGCTGAAGCCAGATGTGCAGTCCAGGCCGACGGCAGGTCGGCAGCTGCACGCGGCTGGTAGAGGAGCCTCTGCAGACACAGTAGTCACAGGTGTGTTTCAGCACAAATGCTGAGACTCCTCAGTCGGCAACACTTCTACTGTCACTGTGTCTGGGAACCAAGGCAGGTTGTTTGCATGTTTGCATGACATGAATACTTAGACAGAGATTAGATACTTTAGTGGTCTTGTTTTCAAAAAGCAATCGCACTAAACTGTAAAAAACGCAGCCTTGTTGAGGTTTCCTTTGCTGAACATTTTGGGCATCTCACAGAAAAACCAGAAGAGCAGCTCCGACCAGCAGCTGGCTTTGTTTGCATGCTGTTTAGGTGTTGAGATCTGTGACTAAACTGGCTTCAGTCTCAGAAGCTGAGATGAAAAACTTTTTGGAGCATTATCTTTCCTGAATACACGACTGGCATTTACACGCTGATAATAAAACAAAGCGATGCCAACTTACATCCCCTTAATAATAAGATTCTAATAATTTTCTCCACTGGATCTCTCATGTCGTTAATCTGGTGTTTCCCATTGAAGATGTTTTGGAAACTGAATCGGTAACATCACTAAAATGTTTGTGGTAATTTGTGCTGTTCGCTGGTCCCTTTTAAAGGCAGGTTTCAGTCCACATGAGAGCCTTGTGAAAAAAATAGTATTTTTCTCTATCTTTGAACTTTTCCTGTCATCCATCCGACCTCTAACTGGTCTGTGACATTCTCACCGGAAATGATTTAAGTTACTATTTTAGGGTACACAGTTGAAGATGTTTTAACCCTTTAAAGCCTGATCCAAGAAAAAATAACACAGAAAGGTACACATTTCTCAGTCTGAAGTTTTTATTTGTCCCTCTAACTAAAAAGCTTTTAAAAATTAACAAAACTATTTGTTTGTATGGATACCATATGTCGTAAATCCACGATACGCATGTTCTGCCCGCTGATATCAGGTTTATCAGATTGTGTACAACAGAGTTTTGAGCATGTTTTACCATGAAGTGATGCAAAAGGTCTCTGCATGCGTGAAATATGACGCATTCGGCATTAAAGGGTTAAGCTTGTTTTAATCTAACAGTTTACCACAGCCTATAGTGTTTTTGATATGAGGACAAACCTGCTGTCAAACGTTCCTTGAATGAGACTGGATTCAGATACTCTGAGCTTCATGTGCTGAATGAGCAAAGAAAAGAGTCTCACGAAAAATGAGATGTGACGTTTAAAAAAACATGATGGACTGTGTGAGGGAGCAAGTCATATGTTTCACTAAAAACCTCCCTCTGCTTCTATTTTGTCTTCATGGTTTCAATTCTTTTTTTTTCTTTTTTTTGTTTGGCCAAAACGAAATCGAAAACACGCAGGTGGAAGAGAAGAATTGCAACGTTTGAAGTTTGGAGATTACTTAATAATGACACACTGTGTCTCCCATGTGAACATATTTTCACATTTGGTAACAGAATCCATGAACAGAAGTTTACATGTAACTCTCATCCTGTTCTATTATTGACTATTATCTCAACCCTTCTCTCCCTCCAGCTTACTCTACCCCTTGATTCATTTCAGTCCATCTCAGCTCGTCTTTAACAGGATATTATTGTGGACATTTTTCATTTCTATTGCATGATGCATCAGTGTGCATTTAAAACCAAAAAATCCACATGTACACAATGAAATGGCTTTTAAACAGCTGTCCACTGCAGTGGCTGCAATGCATGAAAGGGTTAATGCTGCAAAAATCCTGTTTCTGTCGGTTGAACTGTGGCATCTCTGGGTTTTTTCCCACATCCACAAAAGAAATGGGAACAGATTTGTGTCTTTATAACAACCTGCTGGCAACAAATAGCCTAAAGATCCGATTAAAAATCAGTTTTAGCTGATTTTTTTTATGTGAGGTCGCTGTTCTGGTTCACCTTTTGAATTTGTTCCTTTTTATGCTTGAATGAGTAAAAGGTCAGATAGCTCAGTGTTACGCAACTTAAAGAAAAAACAGGTTAGAAAAAGGTTACAAACAAGGACTGAAAATGAGATAAAGTAGAGGTAACATAAACAAAGTGTGATAGATTAGTAAAAAGTATAATCCAGAACTGACTGTTGATTTAATATTGAACCCTTTAGAAAGGTGACTGTATTTTTAAAATCTTGGATATGATTTACGGCAGATTTGAGGCCAAAAATGAGAAACACAAACAAACTGAGTGTGTAAAAGCTCCTTTGGTTTTTTACCTGCAGATGTTGAATCGACAGGATTTAGCTCAGGCCGCCTGCTTCAGTCTCAGATGTCCGAGGCAGAAATGAGGACTCATCCTCTGAAGCTCCGCTGATGTCGTGACTTCAAGTGGTTTTGTTGGCAAAGGTGTCATGCGTTGTCACACACTTCTCTCTTTCATGTGTCCCATGTCTGGTTTTGTCTTCCCTTCTGTGAGGTTTGCTTCTCTTCCTCTAAGCTGCTCACTTTTTGTCTCAGACACTCAGTGGATGATCAGTGTGTCGCTCTTTGGGGTTATTGCTCTCTTCTCTGCACAAGCCAGCCAATCAGATTGCTTCAAAGAAGTCTAATGACTCTATCTGTGTGAAAGTAATTGTTAATAATCCAAAGAGGGGGGAGATTTCCAAGTACACGTTAACAACCCCTGGTTAAAACAAACAAACCCTGAAACATCAAATATGGAGGTCATTCATTCATTCATTTCCATGTTTTATTTCAAACAGATATGAGACTTGCTGATTTGATCAGATATTCGGGCTGTAAAAGTTTCCTTGAACACATTTGATCTGATTTCTTTTAGAAGAAGCAGAGGTAAAAATGATGGAATCACCTTACAGGTTGATCAAAATGTCTGAGTTTGCCGTTAAGAGGTGAGGAGCTGTCGCACGCGGCCAGGGAAGTCAGACTCTGGGCCTCCAGGGCTGCTGCAGGTTTCTCTGCTTCAACACACCTAATTCACATCGATGCACCGCTGGAAGACGTGAAGACGTCAGCAATCCTTCGAAGAGATATATTGGATCTAAATGAGTCACTTTGAAACAGCGACCTAAAGAGGGGCAGAGTTTGAGATCCCTGTGAGGGAAAGTGGCCCCAACAATACGACGATAGCTGGGAATTACAAAACCTAGCAAAGAAAGCACGTCAACTCAAAAGATACTAAAAGATGTTTGTTATAATTTCAAATAAAGTAGGTTGTAAGAGGAGGTTGACTAAGGAAAACATCCAACTGTCTGGACTGAAACTCAAAGGAAATATGTCTGAAAATGAAATTAAAAACATGAGAAGAAACTTAAGTCCATATTCCAAATAAAATAACCTAAATCAAAGTCATATGACTGCTTTATGTGGGTGATCCTACACTGGGTCTGAAAACCACACCAGCAAAGCCACATCTGAGCTGAATTTCTTTGAAAAGATATCAATTCTCCAAAACGGCAGAAGAATCCTGACCATCTAGGAATTTTTTACACTCCCAAGATCCTTCCTTATTATTATCTCTGTCCTAATATCATAAGATTCAAATAACATACAGCTGAAAACATTTACTGGTCTAATCTGAATATTTCCTGCTGGTGTGTGTTATGTTCTGCCAAAGAAATAAACAAATGAACAACACTGAATCAGCTGAAAATGGAAAATAATCACACAGATAGGAAAAAAAAACAATGCCATGTGGCTAATATATATAAAGAATAGTTCTTGGAAATTCCTGTCAATTCTTTAGCTCTTTCTCATTCCTTCCTTCTGCTCTTAAGTAATATTGTGGCTGTGAAATCACAGTTCCCCTTTTGCTGCTTCCTCCAGTCGGTTGGGTCACTTTAAAAGAGGCTCCTGAACTCTTGATGTTGCAAAAAGGTCACGACTGACTGAATCAGGATCCCACTAGAACAAATAATCAACTGTAGAGACTTCATTTCAGATTCCCTTTTAAAGTAAACTGAATTTGGAAACAAACCTCACTGCCATGTGTGTTTGCATATTTTCACATATTCACAAATGCTTTAGGCCTCACAATGCCTAAACAACAACAACCACAACAATAATAATAATAATAATAAGATATTTCAAAGGACAACGTTTTTCTTTGTTGTTGGTAATTGTTGCAATTTATTCTTTCTTGTTCTGTCAACTTTAGTAGCTTTTTACAGATTTATTTGCTGTTTTTCATCACGTTCAACTACCCTCTAGTGGCTCATAGGGGGTCGTTCATGTTTTTTCGTCAGCGTGGGATCCACTGTTTTTAAACATTTTTCTGTACAGAATTAGAACACTTTTTTAGAAAAATTAAAAAACAAAGCCAAAGTTGTCCAAATTAAAATGATATAAATTAGTTATCAAATCGTGGGTGGGGGAGGCTTACAGGTATCTGTTAACAAAATGTGCCTTGTTTTGATTTAAAACGCTAAGCTACATGATGGCAAATTCAAACAAATCTATTTTTCCAACGTTTTAATAAGAATCAGTCTGTTAGTTGTCCCAACTGTGGTTCGGTTGGTCGACTAAAGCGGGGAGTGTTGTTTGAAGACATGGGTAAGCCAGATCAGATTAATCTACAGGGAGTTTTTTCAGGACCAGCAGCGTATTAACGCTGCCCGCTTGGTTGTGTTTCTAGAAACGGAAAATAGGCCTCACGTCTCCGGAAGGGGGAAAAAATGCTGGGCTAATATCGTCAAGAACAAGCTGCAGGCTTTCAGTCTGTTAGCATTCGTGTTTGGTAAGTTAGCTACCGTAATGTTTTGGTGGTTAAACCTAATGACACTTAAACGTAACGCTGAATTTATGGATTAAATTAAATTGAATGGAAGGGTCAAAGGTTGTACTCTTTGACCTCGGTGACTTTTGGACTTCGTCTGTTTAAAATGCAAACCAACCGTCAACTGAAAATTGAAGTGAATAACTGTATTAATATTCATAATGTCAATGAATAAGGAAAACTAGTCAAAGGAAATTATTCTGTTTCCGGTCACTTTAAATGAAAAATATTCTCTGTTGCCCGGCTACCCCTTCGGGTATTCGGCCCTAAAGGTTTCCGAATTTGAACGATGTCCATATATTGCATTTATTTTTAGGGAAAAAATCAGGTACAATCACCAAACACAGAGATCTGTGATTTTCATATTTTCTGTTAGCCTTTTCAAAAATACATGTACCATAGTTGAAATAGTTTGTTACATCTGTGTTACTCTAGTTCTTTGTAAGTTAGTAAAAAGCCAGCGCCCAGATTTACCTCATCCCTTAAATGTGTCTTAATATGTTTTGTTATGCTGTCAGAACTCTTTAAGCCTTAAACAACTCTGTTGGAAGATGCATTTTATGGCTGTGGAAAAACCAAGACAGGCTCACGGGATCACCTTCGACGAAGGAAGGAAACAGGCAGAGTGAAATCCTGATTTAATGTTGAATCTTGATCATGAATGTTACAAAAAGAAAGTATAAACGTTTCCTCATAACTCATGATCATCCACCCTCATCAACGAGGCCAGTGACCCCCACCTATTCTTCTCCCACCCCCCTCAACCCCACTAATATACACAATGCTACGTTCAGCATTTTCTGGTCTGTCGTTGGACATTCAATATTTTATGTTATTATTTATTATTATTATTATTTTATTTTATTTTATTCTATATTTTTATTTTCTACATTGTATGTCCTTTCTTGCTTCTTATAGAAGTGTTGTGCACCAAACACCAAAGCAAATTCCTTGTAAGTGAAAAACTTACTTGGCAATAAACCTTATTCTGATTCTGATTCTGATAAAAAGTAAGGCTTAAGTTTTTTTTACAGAAGATAAAGAGAATACTCTACAGCAATAAATAACAAGGTTTAGAATAAGGAAGTAATTTGATTGCCCTCACAGACCTCCACCTAACAGACTGACTTTGGGATGACGTAACACCTCAGCCCCCTCATCATTAGCATCATATTGGCCAAGAATGAATGCATTTCTGTACAAAAATCCATTTGGACACATCTTTGTGTGCTTTAAATAAAGCTAAAGGTAGTAAAGCGATATATTTGTTTCCTTTTTTTATTTTTTTTACCAACATCTATTTTTCAAACCCAAATATACTTAAAACAAATATGGCAGATGACAAACTCACAAGGTGGGGAATTAAGGGACCAATATTTGTCTAAAAAAATTATAACATTAAAAACAGAAACCAGAAAAACTCAAATTGAACTTGAGAACTCAAAATTTGCAAGATAGAAAGAAAAAAACTCAACTTAATTCCCAAAGCCCAACACGACGAAGACGAGGACGGTGACAAAAAAGACATACTTAGAGCAAAGCAACAAGGAATTACCCACCAAGAAAAGCAACAGAAAACATGACAAAAGAAACGAAATAAACAAAAGAAATAAAGAAATCTGATAAAACATAATACTGACCAAGATCCTCTAAAGATCCCCTAAACTGTGAGTTTACATTGTCTGTTCTCTTTCTCCATTTGAAGTCTCTTTTCTGTCTCAGGCATAGGGATTGGCCTGATTCTCAAGTTCAATACAGACTTGTCTGAAATGGAGGCACTCTACATCAGCTTTCCTGGAGAGCTGCTCATGCAGATGCTTCAGACGGTGACCATCCCTCTGATTGTGACCAGCGTGATAACAGGTCAGCATTTTTCAGAAAGTTACCGACAAGTTCCACCTGTTACAAAAACATTTGAAAAGGCACAAACTGGCACTTTTATCAGGCGAGGTCTTTCAAACCAGAGAAAAAAGAGTAAAACTATTGAAACTATTTATCTCTTTTCATGTATCATTTGCTGAGTGTTCTCATTCACAGATGAATGAAAAATGGTAAAATGTCCCCTAAAAGTATCTCAACATAAATATTTCATTTTCGTTGTGTATGGATTATTCAGCTTTTGAACACATTTGGACCTCTTTCCCAGAGAAAAACAGACTTTTTTTGTACCCTGAAGCTCAGAAAATGATGCTTTAAAAACTAGACTTATAGATAACAGCGGGGTCCTCCTCTGACTTAGCCGTTGCTCCTGCTTGGGTCAAGAACAGCGGCTGTGAAATTAAAAGTTGCCTTTCCATGCACGGATCCTGAACTTTTAAATACACGCAACGCCGGGGGAGAGACCTTCTGTTTTTTCATTTAAACTAAGGAAAATGACGAACGTGAGGGAACAGCTCCTGGGTGCTTTCAGGTGGAGCCTGAGCGGTTAGCTCACGCTGAGCCTCTGTTTGAGCAGGTGTCTGCGGCCTAAGCGTTCAAGCCTCCAGGAAGATTGCCGTCCGGACAGCTACGTACATCATCACCACCACCTTCATGGCTGTGTGCTTAGGTGACACCCTATTCTCATCTTTAGACCCTAACCAGCCTTTTTTCACTGGCACAACGTCACAATGTTGCTTTTTACGTTGGATTTGTGTCCCGCAGGACTGTTGTTGGTGATGGTACTCGAGCCGGGAGTTGTTTTTGCCAAAGTGATTGTTAAGAATAAGAAGAACACCTTTTCTACCATGGATTCCGTGATGGATCTTTTCAGGTGAGATGACCCGGTTCGTCCCCGTCGTGTTCGGTTCATTTTGAGCTCGGACCACTGTCCTGCTGACTGACCGTCTGCCCTGCTCACAGGAACATGGTCCCTGAGAGTCTGATGCAGACGTGCTTCGAACAGGTGTGTGTGTGTTTTTTGTTGCTTTTTGGAAAAATTCTGTGGTCTTTTTAAGACTTCCCATGTGTTTGTGAGTGGAAAATTTGTTTCTCCCTCAGTACAAGAGTGAGAGAATAATGTTTCCGGTGGAGGACGACGACATGCCCCCCGGCGTGGAGCCGGTAGGTTTCCTTCTGCTCAGAGAGCCACTGCTCTCCTGATTTGGGAGGGTTCTGTGCGGCGCCGCTGCGTTTCTCGGACACAAATGGGGGCTGTGTTGGATCTCGTTGCAGACGGCGCCTCTCTACGAGGAGCGGATGGTGGGAAGATATGTTGAAGGGACCAACATGCTGGGCTTGATCGTTTGGGCCTTTGCCTTCGGCATCATGTTCGTGATGATAGGGGATAAAGGGCTGGTCCTGGTGAACTTCATCATCGCCATCAACGAGAACACGAAAGTGGTGGTGAACTGGATTCTGTGGTAAAATCTGAACCCTTCGGTAACACTCAGAGTCCACTTGCTGCTTGGGCCCTCCCGCTCTGACGCCTACGATCAGACGTCCAGTTGAAAACCCTGTAGGTCGTCTCACCCGACGGCTTTCTGTTTCAGGTATCTGCCGATCGGAGTCCTCTTCATGATCATCAGTCACGTCATTGAGGTTTACGACTGGGAGTCTATCTTCAAGCTCAGCAAGTTTGCCGGTGTGGTTCTTCTCGGGTACGCTCATCTTCGAGGCTCCTTTGATGAGCCTGCCGCTTGTGCAGGCGCATGAGGCCGCGCAGGCGTTGAGGCGGGTGCCTTTTATGCACAGGCATAAATGATTCCTCTTTCAAAAATCTAAGCTGTAAAATCCTGACCTGGTCTCTTCCTATGCTGCTTTTCAATACGCTGTTACCAGTGTGCCCCTCTCTGGGGGGGGGTCGTTGTCTTTTGTGTTGCTGTCCACCACTGAGCCGTTGACTCTCCATTGTTTGTTCCAGGCTCATCCTGCACTCGGTTATTGTCCTACCGATGTTATACTTCATGCTTACGAGGCGTAACCCTTATGGCGTCCTCCTGCGGTCGACTCCTGTGCTACTGACGGCGATGCTCATCTCATCGAGGTAAGGAGGCGGAGCCCCGCGCTCCTGCGCGCGGCCTGCTGGACTAACCTGGTTCTGCTGTGTTCTGCCAAAGCTCGGCCACGCTGCCGCACACGCTGGTCTGTTGCGAGAACAGGCTTAAGATCGACAAGAGGATCACTCGTTTCATGCTGCCCATCGCGACCAGCATCAACATGAATGGAACCTCCCTCTACGAAGTGGTGGCGGCGGTTTTCATTGCACAGCTTAACGACATCGAACTGGAGGTCAGCCAGATCATCACTCTGTGGTGAGTCCCTGTGCGATGGGCCTATTAGGTGGGGAGGCTGACTGTACGGTCAGGACATGACGTGTGTCTGTGTGTGTGTGTGTGTGTGTGTGTGATTTGAAGCTTGACAGCAGCAATCTCCAGCATCGGAGCTGCAGGGATTCCAGCAACTGGAGCAGTGACCACCCTTTTTGTCCTGACGGCGACCGGTCTGCCAGCAAAGGACGCAACTCTTCTGGTGGTCGTGGAGTGGGTCCTGTGAGTTTCAGCTTTTTTCACAGCCTGATAAGGCTGAAACTGTAACATCTAAAGTAGCTGCGGCTTTTTATCTGTAGGCATGGACAAAAATACGGTATGTGAGGGAAATAGAGGTTTGTAGACTTCTTGAAGGCTTGCTAGCTGGTATTTGTCCGGAGCTCCTTCATCCTCCACCTCTGGACCCTCTGCAAGCAGCTGTGTGTCCTTCCTTTAAGGAGTCCTCAATCCACTTCATGTGTCCTCTGGCAGAGCTCAGCCTTTTTCTACCTGTTGCCCTTCCTTAAGAATGCCATCTTGACAGCCCCCCTTCCATAGAAAGCAACTGTGGCTCAGATGTGTCAGGTTTTTAGCTAACAGCTCTTTGGTTTCCTGTCCTTCAAACTGTGTCATCTTTGGCAGTTTTAACACATCCGCCAAAGAGATGGGAACGAATGATGTGTCTTTGTGGCAGCCAGCTGGTGAATAAGAACATTTGCTTCCAAAGTTGTATTTTCTGCATGGACACATCATGGGTTCATACAGTGAATGTTGATTACCAAGATGGCCAAATTTCGATGACCATAAATTATCAAATAGGTCATGTTTCAGATGGTTATAACTGGTGTTGTGCAGCCCTTCCAAATCCAACAGGGAATCAAATATTTGCTGAGGAGAGGAGGATGGGTTTAGGGTAAATCCTTTTACAGCTGTATTTTGTTTTGTGCCCCTCAGAGACCGCTGCTGCACCGTGGTGAACGTGCTGGGGGACTGCTTCGGCGCGGCGCTCCTTCAACAGCTGTCTGAAAAAGAACTGCACGAACAGCAACAGAGAGCTCACATGAACGGGTACGCGTCGGACTCTGCCTGCTGCTGTAAAGGGCGCACTGGTCTCATTCACTTTGTGAAAGTGTGAACTCGAGCAGAGTTGTTTGTGCCATCGATGAGCATCACATACTTTTCTCTGCAGGGATGGTGAAGAGGCTCAGCGTAACCCGGAGGACGTCCAAGTCCAGTTCGTGAGCCTGGACTCTGACTCCTTTCACACTCCGCGGGAAGAGCTCAAAGGCCGGACCGACACCCAGCGGCGGTTCACCTACCATCCAAGCCTTTGGGACCTGCCGGCCTAACAGCATTGACCGCCTCTGTGTTTGTCCCCTTTCCAGCTTTAATAAAGTTATTTAACGGCATATCTTAAGTGGTTCAATTCTGCCACCAGGTCAGTTATCGATAACAGTAGTCTCCCTCTGGGGAAAGCGTGCACCGAAGTGCTGGAGCAGAGGCTCCGGCGGACGGTAAGATGTGTTGGGGACTTGGAGAAGGTTCTCAGGAGGTCGTATGGGCCACCGTTTCAGGGGTGTGACGTTTATGAGTCGTGGATGTCAGCGAGTTAGAATTGGCGCCACTAGATGGTGCTGTCCTTCTGATGTGAGCCGTTGAGTGATGAGTGTAAAGGACTCCACTCAACCATGAGAGGTGGTTGGAATATGGCGAGTGTGGTTTGTTCTGAGCATGTTTTCATTCGTTTTGCTGAGAGAGTGTAACACCCTTCAGGGCTTAAGCTGTGCATCCCTTTCTGTACTTGGCCTAATTTCCTGGGAGCAGAATTTGGCAGAAGATGGTGCAATTACAGCAGCCAGGCCTCGCAGGTGCAGCCCCTCCTGCTCTGCCCCCCCCCCCCCCCCCTTCTGGCGGCCTGAATGGAGACGATGGGCAACAGTGACCTCGGCCCGACCCCCGGCATCCCCTCTGAGAAGCAGCCGTGCTCAGGTGGATGCTTCACCCACGCAGCACGGCGGCGGCGGGCTCCATTCAGCCACTGAATAGCCACTTGATTCATAAATTCGCTGACACAGTTGACAAGTTTGTACTTCCTCCCTGTCATCAGCTTCCTTCCTGCCCTCTTGCCGTAACGGGTAGTTCGCCGACAGGGCTATCGCCTGTTCAGTTGATGAATGAGTCGGACACAATGAAATGTGGCTGACTTGTTTCAGCACGACCGTCCGTCATGATGATGAAGGGGATTTTTTTTTTTTTTTAGCTCAATCCGGAGAATTTCTGTAACCTGTCTTAACTTGGTATTGGAGTAACAAAGGGCCCTTCGGCTGACGCATGCTGGCTGGAAGCACCACTGAAGCTGCAATCAGACCTGGTTTTTTGTTTTTTAATCAGAATATTAACTAAAAATCCCTCACTGTTCAAAAGAGGAACACCACATAATCCTTTAGGACAATCAAACCATTTATTAACTTTTCCTGCTCCTACATATATTTGAAATCATGACCGGAGAATTTTGCTGTTTTAAGAGTCATCTTTGGTCTTTGACATAAGGAAGGAGTCAAAATGTTACACTTTTTGTCCAAAAGGTGGAAGCCTGAAACACCAAGTTGCATTATGAGTAATTAAAGAACACCTAAAATAATGTTTATTTCCATTTACAGAAACCCTACCTGACTAAAATATAAGAATCCCCTCTATTTCACTCATTTTCAAGTTGTTTGATCATTTCTTTGAAATGTGTTCGGTTCAGGCGCATAGACCCTTTTTATTAGAGACTCCGCACGGGGTCGAAAGTAAATGTCGATATTTTTATTGCTCCTTTTACAATAAAGTCAGAAAATAATGCCATGCAGCAAAGTTTTTCTGCAGACAGCTACCACCTAAATAGAATTATTATGCTTTCTTTGAGTAAAAATATCCCCTTCTAAGCCGTAAATATGATATGACTAAGCTATGAGAGGGCATTGCCTTCAAATTGGTCAAAAACTGCTTAAAATATTCTGCTGTTATCCAAAAGGTTTTACCACCTAAGCTCAGCCTCACACTGGGTTTTAGTCCAACGGTCTCTTTTATGGCTCGGATCAGAAGCTCACCGCTCCCATATTTGAGACTCAGCTTGGCCAAAGTGCACCTTGCGGGTGCAGATTCAGAGCCGAGCTGAGAACCAGTCACCCTCTACTGTGCTGTAAATGTTACATGAGGTTCAGCTTGAGCTCCTGTTGACCCGAGTCCAAATTAGGGAACTCATTGCCGGACCATACCACAACATAAACTGAAAGCAGTCCACCTCATGTGGGACATGAAGTCCAGCCGTCTCCACTGCAGGTCTGTGGTGATTAAATCTACATTTTCAGACCACTTTCACAGTTCATAAGTGTTATTAAGCTCATTGGTAAGTACACAAATCCACTGGTGCCTATGTAGAGATATAGACAATACAACAACTAAACTGGAAAACGTATCAAACAGTCACTCTCACCCTATTTGCTCACATTCTGGAAGATAAAAGAAAAAAAAAGATTCACTGAAATTAAGGAAATGGTTAACATAAGTAAACAGAGAGGAAAGGAAAGCTGAGGTCAAATGAAATTGCCATAAAAACTACCTGATTGCAAAACAACTGGGGGATGCATCACACATCAAATTCTTTCACCTGAAATCACTCTTTGGAAACGCTCAGTGACAAAGTGGTCATGTTATTTCTGTTGATGCTCGGTTTTTATATTAATGCTGACTCATAACAGCCTCCTGTTATTGCTTCCAGTTTTGCACAATGTTCCTTTAAATTTCCCTCCCAGAGGCTGCTGTAGTTAAACATCTGAACTTTCATTATTTAGCCATTAGTCCTCCTTTTCCTCTATTAATGCCTAACGAGTTACTTCAGTGTAACTTTATTTTCTTCCCAGGAAATGTTGATATATCGTTGTGTTATAGATTAATAATTATTCACCGGAGTTGTACAACCAGGTATCTAGGGCTCCCTTCGGTCCACAGTAGTTGGTTAGTACAACATTCCTCTTGTGTTTGCTTTCGCTGCTCCTCCCTGGTCTTTCCAGGAGGCTGAATGTAAGCAGGATTTTTTTTCCTTCCCCCGTAGAAAAGAAGGGTCTATTGATACTTCAGTCTCTTACGGCGCTCAGACATTCTCAGCGCATCACAACCACGTCATTCTCATTTACTTATCCTCTCCAGTTGACTGTAACAGGAAGATAGAATGACTAACGTCCAAATGAGACATGGGTCGATTTTCCAAATAAACACTGATTCTTCTTCCTGCAGCCTAACGCAAATGTTTAGAAGGAGAGTTCGAAAGAAGTCTGGAAACTTGATAAGGAACTCAAGTCAAGCGTGGATTGGTGGGTATTTGTGTGCATCCGTTCATGCTGCAGGTCGGCCGTCATCACTCTGTGTTTCTTTGTGTGTCTGTAATTAAAACCTCTCTGCAAAAGAGATCATTCCTAAAGTTTGGAAACAGCTGTGAGGCCCCCAAAAAAGCTCAGTTAAATGCAGGAAAGATGCATTCAAAGCTTTGAAAAAGTTGGCATGGTTTCCCCTCTGACTTGTTATATCAGATTTCTCTTTAATAAGCATGAATAGGGAATTGATCATATATATTGATGATAGCAAAGGGTTATAAAGGGTGTTCATATATGACAGAAGTGGGACCTTCTCTGCAGGTATCCTGAGCTGCTGTCGAGCTGTTTGTTGTCCTCTCAAACCCAAGATGGTCAAAGCAGAGGACCGCCCTTCCTGGTTCGGTTTCTGATGGAGCTTTCCTCCTGTTAAAAGAAAGTTTTTTCTCTACTCTCAGGACCTGGACTGATGAGGAGAGCAGTCTGTTGGTTTCCTTAGCAAGGAAACTGTATGAGTTGGATTCTAATTGGCTTGGAATTGTCTCTCTGAGGTACCTGGAGAGGGTTTTTGTCAATTTTGACCCTTACATGAATGAAACTGAACTTAAATGGCATTTTAAGCTATTCTTTTTGTGCTTACATTTAAAATATACTTGTATGTTTATTATTATTAAATACCTCAATCTGTAATAAAAGGCTAATTTTTTCTAGGAGAAACTGCTGTGTTTTCATTGATATACAGATCTGGGGCGACAATACAGATTGTGGGTGAAAAGGCTTGTAACTCATCAGCGGCCCTGCACCGTCGTGCCTTTTGAAGCTATTTTTGGAGGTGGATGCTGGATCCTTTCAGTCCGGTGCTTTTCACTCAAGTATTCGAGCGTTTCTGCTGGAGATGCAACCGCACGGCAGGAAGCGTATGAGAGGAGGAAGTGAAGCCGAAAGTAGGCCTCCAGAACTTGCTGTGCCGTTCAGAAAACGGCATGCGCGTCAGCTCCATATTATTTTGTCTTGATTGTGCCTCTTGAAAAAATAACACAGTAGTCTGAGCCAGTGTTGTTTTTTGACACATAAACTCAACAAAACATCACCAGAATCAAACCACAGGTGAAAACATTTCTCTAGCAAAAAGTCAAAGGAATGAGAATCTAATATCAGTCATCTCCTCTTTTATAGTTCCATGATGTCCGCTTCAGTGAGGTGTATATGTCTTAAATGACTTGTTTAACATCGTGCAGTGAGTCTCCATCAGTGAGTTCAGAGGCTTAATGGGAAAAACGGCGGGAGGAAATGACTTTGTGGATAAAGGTGTCAGGTATCAAAAGGTGTAGCTGTAAATGCAGGAAACTCAGAGGAAGCAGCGGTCAGAAGAAGGGGCAGACAGCTGCGGAGCCGCCGCCACTTTCATGCCTCACGCCGGCTTCCACACAAGATTTCAGTCTGGCTGCTTCAAAGCACACAGAAAGCAGCGACGTCGCGCTGACCTCGTTTGTTTCCTCTGAAATAAAAGGGGGGAAAAAGCTGACGGCTGCAAGTTCTTTTTAATCGGTGACAAAACACCTCTGATTTGCAAACCTGAGCAGCCACAAGTCACAAACAGCACCAGCGAGGGCGTTCGGGTCACAAAGACCTGGCTGTTCGTGGGGAATGACTTATACTTTCTCCACTCAGTGAAAGAAAATGGCGTTACCTCCACAGAGCACTGGTGACAACAAAGAAATCCAAAACAAGCAGCAGAACAAAAGCCCCACAGTGACAGCCGACTGAAACCAAACTCCCAAACCTTCAGAATGTCAGACGATAATCAGAGTGAAGACGTAACGGCACAGTTTCAGAAGGTCAGAAGAGCAATGAGAATGCGTTGGACTTCACACAGAAGGGGCTGCGTGGTGGTTACGGGGTTCCTGGTTCAAATCCCGGCCGGGGGCCTTTTCTGTGTGGAGTTTACGCGCTTCCCTCGTGCACGCTTCTCTTTGGGTGCTTCAGCTTCCTCACAGGTGAGGCACACGTTCATGTGTGGGCCTGGGACATGCACCCCGACTCTCGGCCAATGAC